TGTTTATTACTTCTGCTTTGAAATCTTTATCAAGAAGGTTGATGATCTCAGTTTCATTCAGCCCTCTTTCTGGTGTCTTTTCCTGTAGTTTTGTTTGCAATATATTTATCTGCCTTCTCATTTTGTCAGGGTTTCTTTGTTTCTTCCTTTGTGTTAGATGGATCTAGTATGCTTTGTGACCTATAGAGTAATAGCTTTATGAAGGAGGGATCCTATAGGACCCAGAAGCTCAACTATGTTTACTGTCCAATGTCTGTTTCTGCTTTGTGGGATCCCCAGCTGTTGGCATGTAGTGGGCAGGGCAGCCTTTCTCTCTGTCTTCTGTAGTGGTCTGAGTCTGTACCATCTGTAGTGGTCTGAGTCTGTATCAGCAGTTTGCTTCAGTTGCAGCATTTGTGATACAAGCAGAAGCCTCTGCTGAGATCATTGTGGTGAGGCCACGTCTGCCCCACAGAGTTAATATGGTGGGTGTGGCCATTGTGTGGCTCTGTGGCAGGGCAGCAGAGGTGGTCCAGCTGGGCTTGGACACCTGCTGAGAGAATGGAGCTCTTGGGGCTGGCACCTGTAGGCATCTCCCAAGTTGGGCTGAAATGGGGCCAAGAAACCCTGGGAGAATCTCCCTCTGCCTGCCAGTTCTCAAAGTGTGATACTACTGCTTGTCTAAGTGGGTTGGCTTGCCAGCATTGTGTTCAAGGAGGTGCCTTGGGGTTGAGTTGCTAGTGAGGGGTATGGAGCATCTGAGGCTCCCGAAAGTTCCCAATCTCTTGGGCCAAGTGAGGGCTGAGTAGGTATCATCCTCAGCAGAGGTGGTCCAGCTGGGCTTGGACACCTGCTGAGAGAATGGAGCTCTTGGGGCTGGCACCTGTAGGCATCTCCCAAGTTGGGCTGAAATGGGGCCAAGAAACCTGGGAGAATCTCCCTCTGCCTGCCAGTTCTCAAAGTGTGATACTACTGCTTGTCTAAGTGGGTTGGCTTGCCAGCATTGTGTTCAAGGAGGTGCCTTGGGGTTGAGTTGCTAGTGAGGGGTATGGAGCATCTGAGGCTCCCGAAAGTTCCCAATCTCTTGGGCCAAGTGAGGGCTGAGTAGGTATCATCCTCCTGCCCTTTATCTTGAGGAGAGAGCTCCGGCCAACCCCTATCCCCTGGCACTCTTTCCACTGCTGGCATGTCTTTCAACCTGCCATCTCTGCTTTGGCAGAAAATGCCTGTCCTCCATAAGCAACTGGAGTCTCAGCCTGCCAAAGTTTTCCAGCTGTCCCTGGTGTCCAGCTACACTAATCACCAGAACCCAATGTAATGTAGACTTGTTTTCCTGGAGTACATCTCCAGGGCCAGGTGTGCAGTGTTCCTGAGCTCCTGTCCTCTCCCTGCTGTGTTCCTCTTTCTTCCTCCTGTGGGTTGGGGCAGGGGAGAGGACTTGGATCCTGCTCAAATGGGGCTCTGCCACTTTACCCTTTTCTGTGTGGTTTTATTCCCTGGGTGTAGGGGGTCTGTTGTGCAGTCTTCAGGTCGTTTTCAGGTTTACTCATATTTGCTGTTTTTTCTTTTATGTGTTTTTGGGAGGAAGTTTCTGCCTTGCCTTCTTTCTCCACCATCTTTTTTTCCTGTCCCCCGAAGTAGACTGTTTATCTGCAAGAATATACAGAAAACAAAGGGATGGGTGGTTTGGAATAATATTTATGAAAAGATATGAGGAAAAATAAATGTTATCCAGCATTTTCACTGGTCTAAATATTCTAGAGTGAAGGCAAAATAGAAACATTTCATATATAGAAATATGAATGTTACTTAGTAGTAACCCACCCACATTAAATTAAAAATTTCTATAATTTATGTAAGATGCAGAATAAAACTCAGGACAAAAAGTGCTGGGATATGAAAAAAACTTTGATGAGCAAGAAATGGATAAAATGTATTGGTAAAATTAACTATTGATAGTAAAAATAGTAACTTTTTATATTAAATGCTAAAATTTTAGTCAAAATAATAAGATGAAATTTTCCAGTGCCTAAAGGATTTTTTCTTGTCCAGAGGAAGGTAAAGATACTGAATAACTTTATAGGTGGCTAGAAAGATTTATAGGAAAGTATGTATGTTAAATTTTTTAATGGAATCATTAAAGCAATATAAATATAATCTTATGAAAATAGAAATATATTATCATTAAATGTAAATCATTAAAACAATAGATGTATAATCTTATTCCAGACCAGCATGAGAGATGGAGTGGGAAGAGAATATAGAACACTTCAACAATCTAATAAATGGCAGAAAAAGCAAAATGAAAATAAAAGCAAAAAGATAATGGTAAATTGAAAACAGACAATAAGATGGCAGAAAACCAAATGTACCACTGAACAAGTATTCCAATTTCATGGTGTTGGGTATCATTTAAATACACTCATAATCTAAATGTACAGGAAGAGTTAATTTCTTTTTCATTATATTTTTAGAGATATATGTTCTGGAACCTCTACTATCTCTTCTACTCAAGGACTTTGCTCTTGTGATTATTCCCTTTAGTCTACCACAAAGGAGGTTTTTCTCTCCTTACTTCATCACTTCTAGCTATCTATGTAAACATAATCAATCTTTCCTTGATTCCATTCTCCTTTCTAGCTCCGGCTGAAGTCCCAAATAATTGCTTTCACTTTCTCATCTCCCATTCTCACCTCAGCCTTTTGCTTCCATCCTCATTTTTCCTGCTGTGAATGCTTTTGTCAGAAAGTTGCCAATGATCCTCATGTTGCTCATCTAGTTTTCACATTTATCCTCTTTTTTTTCCCCATGAAAAATACATAAATATGTACTCAGAAATCAAATGTTACTTTAAACATAGAGGCAATATAGGAGAGTGGTTAAGAGCATAGACTAATCAAAATGACTTGGGTCTCTGTCATTTTGTGGCTCCATGTTTAAAATACTAGCTGTGTGACTTTGGAGGAAGTTAAAAACTTCTCTGTGCCTCAGTTTCCTCATTAGTAAGATGAAGATAGTAGTACTTAATTCAGAGCTGTTTTGTGAGGATTAAATGAAATAATGTACATAAAGCACATAGTAGAGTACAAAGCTCATGGTAGATGTTAGTTATTATTAATGAACTCTGAAATATTATTTTATTATTAACTGAGGATATACATAAGGGAAATGTTTTAAGGGTAAGATTTTTATCACAAAATATTTGGTACATATAAAAGAACATATGTAATATATATGCAAGTTAGCAAACATAAAATCAACACCTGGGAATTTACCACCCAACCCAAGAACCTTGTATTCTTTTTTTCCAAGTATCATTGATAATAATACAATCTTATGTTGGTTTCAGATAACAGTGAGAAGTTTACATTCTTGATTAAATCCTCCTTGTATCCCCTTTCACCTTGTGTATCCATATGACTATCCTGAATTTTGTGTTTCAGTATCTATTTTAAAAGAAAGATTTAGACATTTGTATATATCCCTCATTGTTTAGCTTTTTATGTACTTTATTATGTGAAGGCTTATTTTATGTATTTTTTGTGATTCACTTTGTCATTAAATTTTGTTGCTAAGATTCTAATAGTATGTGTGTCTAGTTCATTAATTTTTATGGAGATAATTGTACATACACTTTTTTGGGTTGTAAGAATTAAATAAGCTGATACATGTAAAGTGCTTAAAATAGTGCTTGGCACATAATAAGGGTTCAAAGAAATATAGCCATTATTATGTTTATTGTTATTCACTGCTGTGTGAAGTGTTAATGATATAACATTGTTTTTTTATCTAGTCTCTGTACTTATGGGCATGTGGGTTCTTTCCAATTTGAAACAACAGAACACACTGCTCCTTTGAACATTCATATCCCTCTCCTTATACCCTTGTGCAAATTTCTATAAGCCAAGTAATTGACATGGAAGTAGAATTGGCTAGGTCATAAGTTACGCTTGTGTTGAACTGTATTAGATAATGCCAACTTGTTTACCAAGGTAATGTGCCTTTTTATATTTCCATCAGCAGCATATCAGTTCCCATTGCTTCATATCCCTACCAACATTAAGTATTGTTGTTTTTATCTTAATCTGATGGTTGTAAAATGGCATCTTGTGGTTTCATTTGGATTCTGTTAATGAGGGTGTCATCATACGTTTATTGGTTGTTGCTCCTTTCCTGTGCAAGTTTTATTATTGTATTCTGTCTTTTTTCTAATGGTTTATCTTTTCGTTTTGATATGGAGAATACCTAGGAATACTTAGGAATATTTATCCTTTGTTGATTCTGTTTGTTGAAAATATTTTCTCCAAGTTTGAGTTTTTCATTTTTTATGAGATCTTTTGATGAACAAATGTTCTGAATTGTAATTTAGCAGAATATATCCACTTTTCCTTGTTTAAGAAATCTGTTTCTACCTTAAAAATATTCTATATTATTATTTATTAGGCATTTAAAGTGCCTTACCATTTAATCATTAATCTACCTGGAAATGGTCATTTATGGTATGAGGTTAATTAACCTTTTTGTTGGGCTGGCAGGTGTACAGTTGACCCAGTAATCACTTAATAGTTGTTCTTTCTTCATTGAAAAGTATCTCTAGAACAGTTTTGAGTAGAAGAATCAACAGTATGTGTCCTTGGTCTCCTTATTTTAAAGGAATGCATCTAAATTTTCACCATTGAATACAGTATTTGTTATAGGTTTGTTTTACTCTTTAAGGAAATTCCTTTATGTTCTAATTTTCTAAAAAAGGTTTGCAACTTGCATAGGTGTTAAATTTTGTTAAATGCTTTTTTTTTTTTAGCTCTTGAAATGATTCTATAGCTTTTGTTCTTCAGTTTGCTAATGAGAGGAATTAATAGCTTTTCTAATGTTTAACTGTGCCTTCCTTCCCAGGATAAATCCAAGTTGGTCTATGATATGTTACCTTTTTTATACATTGGCAGTTTATTAGCTAATATTAATTAAGTTTATAGGTTTGTGAGAAGGCAAGTCCTAATGTAACTATTTTATAAACTTCACAGCAGAAAATATAGGTGCAAAACTCAAAGCTCCACTTATTAAGCAAGAACCTCTCCAAGTAAGAGGTAAGTACATTTAATTGTACTTTTCATTATAATGGTGTTTTGAATTAAATATATAAAATTTATATAGATTTCTTTATAGTTATATTATTCTAAGGGTATAGTTCATTTTTACTTTTCTTTAAATATATTGACTGTAAGCATTTATTCTCTTATAAGCCAATTTTCTACTGTTTGACTTTGCATTTCAGTCATAAATTTTATGGTAATTGTTTCTTCAAAATTCTAAAGGCATAATGGCAAATAAAATCAATTGCTTAATCATTTTTAGAACAGTAATGTTATTATAGATTAAGAGGCCAAGACTTTCTAGGTACAGCTTGTTCAAATCCAGGTAGAGTTTGGACTTTTTTGTCTGATTTTATCTTCTAGGAGTAATTGAGTGATGAAAGAATTCTTGTTTGCAGCTCTCTTCTTTATAATGTGCTACAGCTCTCAATGAGCTATGGCTCCAGTTCCAAAAGCAGCATGATTCACAGAGGCAGTAACTGATTAAGAGCCCTGGGGCTTTGGCATCAGACAGAACTGGATTCCATTTAGGTCTTCTGTATGTGCCAAGACAGTTTATTTGACTTCTCTGAGCCATAGTTTTCTCCCTCAAAAGATAGTGCTAAAAATGAGACTTGTTTTCTAGGATAACTTTGGAGATCATATATAGTATACGGTCATAATTAAGAATAATGTTTCAGTGGCAGTCATATCCTCAATTATCTGGGCCCAGGATAGGCCAACAGAGATTTCTCTGTACTTTGAAGAAATTTCTTAAAAGTAATAAAAAAAAAAAACCCACATCTTTTTAAAGAAAGATGTAATTTTCTTCTCTGCCAAAGGAGCTTGTATAGATTTAGAATTTTAGGATTATTAGAGTAAGGCAGTTGAAACTCATGCAGAAAGACACCTGAACTTTCTTATATACATTTTTCAAGTAAGATTTTGGTTTTATATTGAGCTTTATTTTTGAAATGTTTATGTTGAGTATTATTTGTGCATTAGATTTTTAATGATGTGTTACTTTAGGAGTCTTTTTACCTACTGTAGTGATTGATAATTTAATATTAATTTGTTCTTTCAACTTGGAGGTACTACCGAAAACTCATTAACTAGTAAATATGAGAATAGAATATGAAGTGATTCATAATAGGATATTTGACAATTTGAAACACATGAGTTTGTTTTGTCCTTGCTTTTCAGATATTTGCTTATTCATATTATGTGATCAAAAGTTCACTTTATAATGATTTATAAAAATAGACTAATGTTGACAGTATTTTTTAATTCATAGACTATGCCAAGTCAGTATTTTGATATTGATGTCTCCAGCCTTATGAACAGTGTGATACTTCATAATATGAAAATAATGTGGTAGAAGGCAGTATGTTACCTATAACCTGTAATAAACTTTCTTTCATCTTGAACTGATAAAAATATCCTTATGTTTACTTCAGGATTGTTACATTATGTGAAATAGTCCAGTGGATTTCAGAGTTTTTCGATATCAACCCACGTAAATAATAATGACTTATTATATATAGATTATTACATGTAACAAACAAAAGTTTTCTCATTAAGTACTTACTCTTCTTTGTATGTAGTATTTTTTTATTTCTATTTTCGTTTTTAAAAAATGCTGGTTTCACTGCACAGTTTGAAAAACACTGAACTAGCGTGTAATTTTTTTATCAAAACTTTAGTTCATTTTCATTTAGATCCTAAGCAATTTAAATTGCATCAGTACAATTTAAACAGGCCAGTAATACCTATACAGGGTGTACGTTAGACACAAGGTTAGCATTTTGGCATCAGTTAAGATGAACTATGGTGATAAAAGCTAGATGTTTATAAATTAATTCTGTTCTTTTCTGTACTTGGAGACTTTTTTTTCCAATGCTATTCAGTGCATCAGGAAAAATATCAATTTTCTATGAAATTCATTAATGAAACCCACTTAAGTATCAGCATATGTTCATATTCAAATGTGACTTCCAATATGCGTATTTATTATGTTTTCCTATATTTTTGGTTTTAGTTAAAGCAATCCTTAAGAAGAGGGAATATGGACCAAAGTACACTCAGAATAATTTCATCACTGGAGTCAGAGCCATAAATGAGTTCTGCCTTAAGTCCAGGTAAAGTAATTTTTTTTAAATGTAGTAGTTTGCTCTGTCTAATCTAAATAACCATTTAATTCTTAAAATGGGTTACCTGGTACCATCTGTGTGGAAACTTTACCATGGCTTCTTTCTCAATCGAAAAAGTATTTTTATTCAATTAAAGAATGTTAAAATTGTTAGCCTAGAAAACTGAATTCTGCTTCAGCATGAACAATTCCAGTATTTCTTGGCTTCTTAAACTCAGAAAAGTAGGTTCTTTGAAACCTTTGTACCACACAAGAACCTCAGGAGTTGTATTGTCATGTTAAAATATGGAATTATTAATAAGATTATTTGCATATAAAGTTTTGGTTTTTTTGACCAGCAGAGTTGAGTACTTAATTTAGTTACATTTATGTTCACATTCCAGCTGTGGTTTCTGTTAAGTATAAGCTGTTTTTACTTTCTGTTATCTTTTGTTACTAATTTTCTTGTAATCATGTAGCTTTATTGAGAAATTGTCACAAATTTAAACTTTTCCTCCCCCTTTGTGTTTACCTAGAAAAACCATATTTATTTATTGGCAATTTGGATATCAGATGATCTAATGTTTTTTCCCTCTCCTTCCTGGTCACACCCATTATGGTATAGTATCAAGAAGGAAGGATTCCTGTAATCAGTTTTATAACTTACATAACTGTTAAAACAGCGAACAGTTTAACATTGATGTAAAACTGTGCTCTGTTTCACGTAGAGTATTTAATTTAGTTCTTGCAAAAATTTTGTTAAGTACAGTAGGTATTGCTGTGTTCGCATGATAGGCCCAAAAATATCATAAAAGTGTTAGTGACAAGCCTTACCTCATGTAAAGAGCCAGTGACAGAGACAGAACAGAATACCTATCTTTTGATACCTGGTCCAACCTTTTTTTTACACCAGTATATAATAGTTGGTTATTGATTTACTTTAAACTCCAGGTTTAATTTCTAGAGGTTAGTATATTCCATAGTCACCAGATTTTTATTTATACGTCTTCATTGCTGTTAAAAAATTTCCTTAGGAAGACCAATGATCATATTGAGAATGACTGGTAGTGACTTGAAGAATATATTAACCTTTCAGAATTTAAGAGAAAGGAAAATAATTAAATAGCATGGAATTGACATACTATTTATGACTCGACACCTATGAATGGTATTACCACTTAGTATATTAATCTGAATGTAAACAAATATGACTGTAAATTTTTAATTTACATTCTTAAGTAGAGGGATGATACTCTAATCCATGGTCTTTCCACTGTATTTTTTTTCCCTCACACATCAGACATTGCAGTTTGTGTCTATAGCAGGTAAAATACAAGCACTGATGAAGGAATTGAATCACTATATATCATGTCATCTATATTAAGAAAATTCTTATTTTTACACTGTCTCTAGACCAATTTTTGTGTACAAAATTTCTTCTTTAATCTTTGTACAAATCTGTATAGCCTTTATTGATGAGAATCAGTGTAGTGTCTTTTATCTGCTCTTGATAATCCTTTTAAATACATAAACTGTGTGAACCTTGAACCTTATCTGAATAAATTCAATATGTTTCTTTCTTCAGCGATCTAGAACAACTTCGAAAAATCAGACGACGAAGTCCTCATGAAGATACTGAGTCCTTTACTGTATACTTGAGATCAGATGTGGAGGCAAAGTAAGAAAATAGTTCTTTTAGAATAAAAGTACAAGCCAAATTTGGGATTAATAAAAACATGGTTAAACAGACTCACTTTTTTAAGTGATCTTTTAAAAGCAGAATGTTTTTATATAGCAAACTTGTTTATCTGGGAGTTACTACTATGTACTCATTAACTAAAAATATGTCATAATTTATAAGAAAATTTGCTATTATATTTATTCTCATTGTTTAAATTTATTTAGAAAAGTTCCTTGCATGCTTTATGTTTTTCCTAAAGGACCTTATGCTTTGTTGTAGGATTCTCATGTAGTTAATCTAGATTTAAATGTGATTATAATATAGTCATTAAAACTGTCCATTATTGGTGGCCATGTGTGTATGCACAGATCTTTGGAAGTTTGGGGAAGTCCTGAAGCTCTTGCCAGAGAGAAAAAACTACGTAAAGAAGCAGAAATAGAATATAGAGAAAGTAAGTATATTTAATTGAAAGCTTAGTTAATCGAAAATAACTTGTAGATAAGACCTGTGCCTGTCACTGTGCACTCCTTAGTGGTTATACACTTCTTGGCTTTGGCTTGGTTTCCTTTAACAAATACCAGTTTTTGTTTTGGGGTTCAATGATTTTATAAAAACAATGTATTTTTTGTTTTCTCCTCTGTAGCTTTTTGAAGACAATGAGTGGAAGAAAAGCTAGTTTGTGGTTTCTGTAGGACATATGAATATTAAAATTTGTTTGGTCTGATTTGAAGATTATATTTGTTCTAAGAATAATGGCATAGTGTTCTTATAGAAAAGTTTTATTAATTCAGCTACAATTTTCTACTTTAAGAATAAGAATCAAATTAAATCAGAAACAAAATGAGGCATTACTACAGAACAACAGTAACACAAAGGATGATAAGAGACTATTATGAACAAGTACATGTGAACAAATTGGAGAACCTAGGAGAAATGGATAAATTCCCAGAAAAATACAACTTTTGAAGCCTAAATAATAATGAAATTTAATCAGAGCAGGCAAATAATGAGTAAGGACATTTAAAATAGTAATCAAATATCTCAATTAATTCATTTAGCAGATACTGTCAAACATCTGCTATGAACCAGAAGCTGTGCTTGGTGCATGAGGTTTAATTGCAAATAAGCCTCTCGGGAACTTAACAATCCATTGGTTTCGTGGCAAAGCTATTTTATAGAATTAAGTTTAAGATGTGATGTAAGTTATAGATAATTCTTTGATTTATATATATATATAAACTTAACACATACATTATATATATATATTTATATATAAATGTTTTGTGAATGACAAGAGTGATGCATGCATGCTTGTGATTTAAAAAGGAATACAGAAAAATGAAGAATAAAAAGCCTTTTATTTCCTGTAATACTGTCTCATTTTCCTTCCTAGAGATAACTTATAGACAATTGGTGTATATCTGTCCATAATATTTCTGATGCATTTTCAGATTTATATTTACATTTTTTCACTTAAACATAAATTGTGTGACACTGTACATACTGTTTTGCATCTTGCTCTTCATATGTACCAGTGTAATCATAAACATTTTTCTGTGTCTGCATATAGAAATCTATCTCTACCTTACTCTTTTTTAATAGCTGCATTGTATTTTATTGTATGGATATAGCAAGTTTTGTGTTCTCCAGTTTTTAACCATTATAATGAATACATTAGTGAATGCCCTCATGCTTTTTTAAAAAAAACATGTAATACTATTTTTCTGGGTATTTATGTAGGGTAAATGTTAATAGTGGAATTTCAGGGTCAGAGGACAAAGGTAATTTAATAGATCCTGAAGAATTATTCTCCAAGGAGAATATAGTACTCCCCTACCCTTTACATTTACTTTACCCTCACAGTGTATGAGGGTGGCTGTTTTTCCATACACTTGACGATGCTGGATAATAGCTGTTTGAACTTTTGTGTGTGATGAGCAACAGATGGTGCCTTTAATTTTGAGTTTCTCTGATTACTGTGGAGGTTTCTCTGATTACTGTGAAGGTTGGTTATCTTTTAATATGCTTATTGGGTTTTTTTTAGTTCTTCTGTAATTTTATATCCTTTACTAATTCTATCAGATTGTGTATTTTAAAATGGATTTTTATGAGTTTTTGGTGGATTTTAATGCTTAGTTTTATATGTTCTAAGTATTTTCTAACATTCCTTCTTCACATTTTGTTTTGTTCACTTCCTTTTTTAGTAGGGAAATTTCAGACATATTAGAAGTACAGTGGAAAGGGTAACAACCCCTCAAGGACCCTTTACCCAGCTTTACAGTTATCGAAAACATGGCCATCCTTGTTCTATCTATGTCCCACTTGCTAACCCTCACTCTGATTTCTTTGAAACTACCCAGATATTGTATTATTTTATCTGTAAATATTTCAGTATTTATCTCTTAAAAAACAAGATATTTTAGTTGGTTCATGTGATGATGATGGTTGGTCTGTTTCAGAAAAGTTAACTAACCACTGCCTGCAGTAGTAGTCTCTCAGTCTTACTATCCTCTAGGTTGCCCACTGGTTGAAGGTCTAAGATGGTTTTGCATGGCTTTAATTCTGGCAAAGAAGCTGCGTGGCCTTCTGCTGATGATTCTTTTTCTTGATAAAATTGAAAACATGTCTCTAGCTAATCTAGTCAAGAAGAATAAGGCATTTATTTGAGGTTCTTGTAGGCCTGAAATATATATATATATTAAGTTATCTGCATATTGAATAAGTATAGGTATCCCTGCAGAATCCAAGACCTTTAAATCATTGGTTTAACATTTTAAAAGTATTAAGGAGAGTTAGTGAATTGTAGTATCTAAGGGGTTTTGGTCTCTCAGAAGACGCAGTTGTTGACTGTATATCCACAGATAAGCTTTAGAGAGAACGGTACCTAAATCCAAAGGAGTGAAATATTTACTATCAGTGAAAGAAATAAATAGTGGAGTCTGGGAGCCCTAGAATGTTGGTTTCGCTCTTCAGTTAAAAGCTTCCATTGGCTTTCTTTTAGGAAATACAGGTGCTAAAATAATATACAATCATATGTTGTGCCAGTAGGGCATATTCCATTGGGGAATTAGATACACTACATTTATAATTCTCTGAAACTGATATGGTTAATGTGGCAAGATTAAAATAGAGATAGAGGTGCTAGTATCTTCAAAAAATGTACACATAATTTTCTTTGACAGTTGGGCTTTATTTAGGAGACTTAATAATTCTTCAACTATATTTCTAAATTCTGCATGGGACCAATACTTAAGAGCGGCAATATTTCCTTCCCATGATGAGTTGGTGAAATTTCTAAGTGGAAATTGTGCAACAGTTTTGGTCAGTAACACAGGAAGAAAAGGAATAGAGAGTCTCTTGAGAGTATGGGAGTTTAGAATCAAGATGGTTGTAGTGGCATAGGAAGGAGATCAAGGAGAAGGGGAAGAAGATGGAGAAGACATACAAGGACAGAGAGAACAGAGTGGGCAATGTAGCCGTGTTCAGAGTGTCCCATTTTTTGCCAGTGGAAGCACCTCATGTTGGTTCCTAAGTCCTTTTGTCATAACCCTAGTACTGTAGAATCCTTGCTTTTAGGTACAGTAAAATACTTCAGGTTAATTTTACACAACTCTTGTCCCATATTGGGAATCAGCCATCTCTAAAAGGAACCCTTTTTCCCTTTTAGTGGGAAATAAAATTGAGAGACCATAATCTGTGCATTATGGGTACTCATTTTCAAGAAATGGACAAATTTTCAAGTTCTTTCAGTTAAATACTTTTTTTTCTTGAGAGAAAACACATACATTATGCTGAAAAACTTAATCAGTTCTTTTCTTTGTTTTGTATCTCTTCTGTTACACTAAAAATCTTATTTCTTAACCATTAACATAATTAATTACATTTTTGGTTTATTCATATATATGTATGGACACATAGAATATAGTGTAGTTTCAAAGTAACTGTCAATATCATTGCTATCAGAGTGACTTAAGATATCTTTGCTTCTCTCTTTTTGTCTTTAGTACATATTCCACTAGGGGTGTATAGTTAAATCTCTATGTTTTAAAGTCACTTGAAATTTCTCTCTGTATGGGTAAACTATCAAATAGATAAAAAATTAGATTCATTTATTTTATGTTACTTTTGATTTTTAGAAATAATTTTTATTCACTGTTATTTTACAATTTTATAAACATTTACGTGATTCCAAAATCACATCTACCAGACAAAATACTACCAACAAATTTAGCTTCCATCCCTAACCTCTCCATCTTATTCTT